CCGGAAGTGGCGCTGTAGCTCAAGTGGTAGAGCGCTCGCCTTGAGCTGAAGAGCTGAGGGACAGCGCCCAGGCCCAGAGTTCAAGCCCCATGACCGACCAAAAAAATAAAAAATAAAAAAAAATAAAAAGTCAGAGAGGCACTGGTAACTCACACCTGTAATCCAGGTTACTCAGGAAGCTGAAATCTGAAAATCATGGTTCAAAGCAGAGCCCAAGCAGCCCAGGCGCAAAAGCCCATGAAATTCTTATGTCCAATAAACTACCAAAAAAGCCAGAACTGGACTTGTGTCTCAAGTGATAGAGTGCAAAAATGCTCATGGGGAAAGGGTGACACAGTCCAAAAAGTACTCTTGCCAGATGCCGGTGGCTCACGTCTGTAATCCTAGCTACTCAGGATGCTAAGATCTGAGGATTATGGTTCAAAGCCAGCCTGGGCAGGAAAGTCCGTGAGACTCTTATCTCCAATAAAACCACTAGAAAACTGGAAGTGGCACTGTGGCTCAAGCGGTAAGGTACTTGCCATGAGCTGAAGAGCTGAGGGACAGCGCTCAGGCCCGGAGTTCAAGCCCCATGATCAACAAAAAAAAAAAAAAAAGAGAAATGTACTCTTTACCTGACTTATGTAAATTTCACCCCTCTGTACATCACCCTTATAATAAATTTTAATGCTCAGAGACAGTATCCAGGCCCAGGCAAGCTCCAAGAACAGAACTAAATAAAAAATAATTAAATAAGTAAATAGACAAATAAAAAGTCAGGGAGAACGGACAACAAGGGAGATGGGGAGGAAAGCAGTCAGACCCCCAGTTTAGTCAAAGCTGGAATTGTTCCAGTTTCCTCACAGGGAAATCTGATGCGGGTATAGAGTGACTGAATGACAAACCTGGAAACTTGAAAATTCACACTTCTGGAAGAAACAGTAATTTTTCCAAGTCCAGGATACATTCCTGCTTCTAGAAAGCCTTTGGAAATGTGAAGATCATACACTGTTTGCAAAACAACTGTAACAGTTTGTGCCACATACACAAGCAATCTAATAATCCCTTCCATTTATACATTCCTATCATCTACTTAAGACATTGCAGGGGGCAGGGGAAGGGGGAGCCCTAAGAAAAAAGTTATTACTAGGTGCCAGTGGCTTACGCCTCTAATCCTAGTACTCAGAGGGCTGAAAGTTGAAGATCACAGTTCAAAACCAGCATAGGCAGGGAAGTCCCTAAAACTCTTACCTCCAATTAACCAGCAAAATGCCAGAAGTGGATCTATAGCCAAAGTGGTAAAACACCAGCCTTAAGCAAAAAGCTAAGGAACAACACCCAAGCCCTAAGTTCAAGCTCCAGTTCTGGCACCAAAACAAACAAAAAGAGAAAAAAAAGAGTGAAAAGAAAGTTACCTTATTTAAGATATTGGGGGGGGGAGGAGAAGAGAAGGGATACTGGTAGCAATGAAGGGGTAGCAATGATTGACAAGTAACGTACTCATTGCCTTACTCATGTAACTGTAATCCCTCTGTACAGCATCTTTACAATAAAATAAAATTTTAAAAAAAAGAAATTCTGATTCCATCTTTAGGAAGACATAAGTTTAGAAAGATCATTCACTCATGGCAAGCTCTAGACCTTAAGTTCTCGAAATACCATCCTCAACAGCACCCTTTCTTTACTAATGTGCAAAAGTATTTACACAATGAGAAGATTCTGATTTGAGGGACTCAACTTGAGGAAATAAACTAAATGTGTTAAAAGTGAAGGCCCTTTCCTCTTGATGCCCCACAATCAGAAGCTTCTACTTTATGCTCCAGATTATCAAGGCTACCAAATATGAAAAAGTATTTCTTACAGTATTATTACATTAGAAAGATGTTGAGCTAAAAGGCATAAAATGAATGTATATGCTGACGGCCCTTCCAATCCAGCCATAGACTTCCTGCAGCTGAATTCTAACACTGCTGACGAGCTCAGAAAGAGCCATCTGAACAAGCCACTTCTACAAAACTGTGGCCCTCTCACAATCCTCTAAGCAAGTCTCCACCAGACTCCCACAGAGTTACAGGGTTTCACACAAGCACCACTGTTGGTTTCAAGGATGCCCTGATTTATCTGACCAACCTGAAACCAAAGAATCCAGGGCTTCCTCTCTTGGACTTACAGCTTTTAGCATCTGTGAAGTTTTGTTTGTTTGTTTTTTCCCAAGAAAGGACAAGCTGTTTAAATTCCACTGCTCTCAAAAAGCACAGGATATAAGACCTGGAAAGAGGACCCTCAAGAAGAAGAGTTCCACTTTTCCTGATATGATCTCAGCAATACTTAAAAAATAAATAGAAGACTTGCATAAATATTGTAACAGACAGAGTCACTTCCTCCTACTAAGGATCAGACTCATCCCTCGGGATGCTGAGAGCTCACATCAGATGGGAGAACTGGGAGACACACATGGGTATCTCAGAGAACTGCTCACAGGGCCCTTCTCACCCCATACCGACACCCTGAAGGTACGCACACAGCAAGGTGCCACAATTCATTGCCAATGTTTGGAATCTAAACCTGAAATCTTCGCAACTGAGTATTTAAGCCCTATTGCTGGTTGTTTTACTTACCTTGGGTTGTGCTCGACGAGGAAATGCAACTTTGGGATCAATCTGGGAAAAAATAAAATAACAGGTATCAGTGGGATAGTTTGTGAGTAGGCTATATATATCTATACATATCACTTAATCATTAATCACTCATTTCTCAGGCTTATAAGTCCACATATACTTTATATATATGTATATATGCATATATGAACATATGCATACACACACATACACACACATACACACACAATATTACACTCTGTTTCTGGAGCTATTCAAGGTTCCTTCAACGTTGATCTAAATTTTCACTATCACTATCCAAACATGGCTAGACTTTCTAAAGTGTCCTACCATGCATTTTAGTGTGTGATGCTCTGTATAAATCAGATCTTTTTTTGCAAGAGTTCCTCTTCTATAAACATTATTATTAAATGATGCCTGCAGTTAATGCATAGGAGAAAAGATGGGGGCCATGTTACCACTGAGGGGAAAAATAAAAACCTGAAAATTAAATGTGGCTTCTAGCACTAATAAAATAGATGACATCTCTACTCCCTAGCACAAGAGGGCAAATGAATCCCCAAAATGTCAGAAGTCAACAACATCCCAAAACTCCCATACAACACAATGCTCGGCTTGAATCAATTCACTATGTTTTAGCAAAATAAAGTTACCAGGCATTATCAAAAAGATTATTTGTTCTGTCATTATACCTCCAAAGAAAGCAGGTGTCCGAAACCATGGAGCCTGACTAGATTTTTTTTTAAAAATGCAATAAAGCAAAAAATGCACATGAACTAAAACCACCTGGATTTTAAAAACCACAAGGATTAAAATCCAGAAGCTTTAAACCTAAAGTCCAAATTAGAAACCGAAGGCCATAGGTAGAATACAAAAAAAAAAAAAAAAGTGAAGTGGGACTGTAATGCAGTAATTGGGAGCTCCACCACCCCAACCTCAACCCCCACAGGAAAACCTACTCTATTCCAGATCAGATGCCTGCTTACAGAGCAAGGAGCTTTACAATTCAGAACTAATTCCCACAGAAGCATTTGAATTAACAGGCTAATGTGAGAAGAAAGTTACCAGACAGTAAAAGGGGGAGGGGCTAGGAATATAAAATACATACACTGTTGGTCTTCTTTGCATTTCTAACATGTTTCAAATCTTTTGAGTAAAACAACACAGAGAGTAGCCTGAATATTGCTACAAGTTAACTAAAGTCCAGGCTTTGACCTTCATATTTAATTTTCTTCCCTTTCAAAAACTCAAACTGAATGTGGCTTTCAGTTCTGGTAAGAAGAATGCTGTGGGGTAAACAAGGCTAGGGATGACAAATAACCACACATAATTCCTATCCCTGACCTATATCCTCTAGAGCCCCTGTACTAGTCTATACAAGGGCTTACTGCTTTTATTACAGTAGTTTAAGGACCTAATAAAAGTCTGCATCATGGTTTCCACTTTTTAAGCATCACCTGAGAAATGAGAGATCATCTGTCAGAAACTACATACATACATACACACACACACACAAATATAACACTGTTCTAGAAAACTACCCTTTCCTAAAGATTAACATTGTTGCATCTACGGGTGTGCCCAGCACTGACTAGAGCTTGTCTACAAGAGAGATACAACAGGTGTGGATTTTCCATTCTGTCCACCATAAGTAAGACAGATGCCTCCATGGAGAAATACTCCCCCCAAAGGGTTTGTTTTTGGCTGACCACACAATGCAAAAAGATAGGCAAATGGAGTATGTCAGAAGAGAGGCCAGGGGCAATGAGGACTATCAAGTACTAAAATAAAAAATGAAAATTGCAAAACTAAAAGCCAATTGGGAACTGCATTTGAGTGTGGTGACATCAATGAATTACATACACCAAGAGAAGAGTTCCTCCATGTGCAATTTACAGAGTCTCTATAGGAGGGGGGAGGGTCAAGGCAAGATGGCAAATCCCAACCTTTTGCACATCCCGGTCAACTAGTTTTTAAAAAGAAAGAAAGAAAAAAAAAAAAAACTACCAAAAACGAAAACATTAGTTAGTTAGGTACAGCTCTACTTACTGGATCTACAAGTCCTCTAGGAAACACTAGGGTACTATTTTGGACGTGAATGGCCGTTACCTAAACAAAGCTTTTAAGGTAATGGTAAACAACATCCTCGGTTTCCATGTCAATAAAACAACCGCTTCTGCCTCCTGCACTGAACGTTGAAACAAAGTCAAAAGCTAGGTTAAACTAAGTAGCAGTGACCTGAACACTTCTACAAAAACCCCAGGAGGGAAAACTGTAGGCTATTTACTAGATACTCAGGGACCCACCAGCCACAGCACAAACCAAACTCCCCACCCAAGTGGAGGAGGGTGCCTTGAGCTGGCTTTCCTCTTTCATTTTAGTAGCTTTTGCGAATTTGTGTAGCCTAAAGTCAGGGAAAAAGGGAGGAAATTTTCTTCACAATTTTACCACCCTACAAAAGATTATCCCTGAAATTAAACGCTCTAAAAGTACAAAAGCACTGGGTTACAGGTTCTGACAAGTCCAAGACAATTAATAAAGCCAAGTGTGTGAGGTCTTTTCTTGGGTGAGGGCAGTACCCAACCTTTTTTGATCATAGAGGGTGAATTTGCAAATTCAATGCCTATGCACCAAAGGTTGCCAGGTCTTTTTGTCTCTCCCATTCAATTTTAAAGACAAAGAACTTGGAAGATCATTTAATTCAGTGTTTTACAGAAAAGGAAACTGAGACCCAAACACAGGGAACGACTTGCTCAAGTTCCCAATAGGGCAGCTGGAACCACAATCTCTCATCCTATCCTACTCCAGGAGTCCCGTCTTCAGAGAAGCACAGTCCCAACATCACCTTGAGGCCAGCATTACACAGATACGCAAAAATTGTGAGGAAATGAGAGGACACATACAGGGGAGACAGGAGAAGGCAGGAAGCCAGCAGAGGGGCTAAATAAAAGACTGTCAACTCGGCGGCCTCCTCTAACATTAAATTTATTATTACAGACTGCCACTCTTCCCTTCCTCTCTGACCTCTCTGCCTAGCAACTTTCTTATCTACAGAAATAAAAGGATCCAACAAAGAAAAAAAAAAAAAAAATCACTTTGAAACCCAAGGCCTTAAGCATTCGGTTTCACACCATCTGGAGTCACCCCACTGGATATCCAGGCTTGGCACTGCCAGTGTCTCTCCTTCCCTCTTCAAACCACATTCCGGATCCCAAGGCCAGGAGAGAAACCTGTTGCCTGGATCTATGATGAGCGCCCCCTTCCCCTCCTCCCCACCCAGCTCCCCTCAACCTGGAAGCATGCCATGCCTTCCCAGAGCCACAGTTGGCAATGCAGGCGGGGCTCCGCTGACAAAGAAAGTTCCATTTGCTCTCCAGTGGTGGTGAAGGCTGTGGTAAAGTCCCTTGGCCTGAAAGGATAACCCTCTCCCCCAGAGATGAGTCCCTTCCCTCCCCCTCCTCCACCCTTAGCTTGGCAGCCTCCAGAGTTGCAGTGGGATGGGACCTAAAAAAGAAAACCCCAAACCCAAGCCACCAGCAAACTTCTGAGCCAACTAGTTAGCTGTTTTAAAAGTATCCAGTTCTAACACAGAAAGCAAAAGGCGGCGCTGTCCCTTTAAATAGGGCTGTCAATGCCTGAAAAGGGGTGAACAACAACAACAAAAAAGCAACCTACCGTCTTGGAATCTAACTCATGGTGGGGCTGACCTAATACTTTATCTACACTTGCTGGATCTGCGAACGTGACGAAACCGAAGCCTCTGAAAGGAAACAAAGAGGGAGAAAAACAAACAAGAAAATGTGACACCATTGAAAGTCACAAGAAATGAGACCTAATGCAAAAAAAAAGAAAACCCAAGGAGCAAAAGTTGCTCCCAAATGCACCCCCATTATTCCTATTCCCTCTTCTAGTTTCCCTCCTCCCTGCAGCCCTCCACCAGGCAAGAAAATTACCAAGGTTACTGGGGGAAGTGGGGTGAGGATAGGGTGGCTGGAGGTTAACTTAGCTGAGGCTGGAGCCTCCACTCTGGCGGCCTCAGTTTCCTCTCCTCCACCTCCTCCCTTTTTGAAAGCTTTGTTTTATTCTAAAGGAAGCCGGACACTTAAGAGAATCGCCTACCTTTCCTAACAGGGGACTTCAGAGTTTGGGGAAACTGAGAATGTGACGAAAGCACACATTTAAAAAGTAAAATAATAATTTTTTTTAAAAACTGTAGAGTGAATGAAGCCGAATGCCATCTTCAACGAAGGAGAAAGCAGGAGAGGGTGGGGGGGGGGGAGACTTCAGGAAGGGTTCAGCTTCGATTCTAGAGTTCAGCCCTAATTAATAATAACCTTTAGGGTGATGGGAGGAGGGGGAGCAACATTCCAGCCCGGCCATGCGCCTGAGCCCCACTCTAAATCCGCTTAGCTACTTCCAAAGACACCTCCAAATATAAAGCTAAAACTTTGTTCTATAATAAAGACAAAAATCCAGAAGGGAAAGGCTTTACCTGGAGCGTTTCGTGGTGGGATCTCTCATGACCATACATTCTCTAATTTCTCCAAATTTGCTAAAATAGTCTCTAAGGCTATCTGTAGAGAGAGAAAGAGAGAGATGGGGGGGAGAAGGTGTCGAGAAAAAAATATATAGAAGCAATGCAAAATCTAATCAAGGACAAAAAAAAGAGAAGCAAAAGTAGTTTTCTGTTGTTATTCTGTTTTGTTTTGCATTCGGTGTGTGAGCGTGTGCACACGCGGGGAGGGGGGATTCGGCAGCAGAGGTCGCGTAGAGGGCTCGGAAAGGATCTGCTATTTAAAATATAGATATAACCTTGCACAAAAGTGGGGAGTCCACGGCGGGGCGGGGGGCTCCCAGCGCGGGATAACAAAGAGCAATAAAGAAGCCAAGAAGGGGGGGACCCGGGAGCCCCCCCCTCCCTCCCTTACCTGGTGAGGTCTGCCAGCTCAGTCCACCGATAAACATTTTACTAGAGGGAGAAAACATAACAGAAGTGAGCACCGATGTCAGATCGGCCATTTTGACGTGTAACTTACAAAAGCTCCGAGGAGAGCGGGGGGAGCGGGCGAGCGCCAGCCGGGAGGTGAGGTGGGGTGGGGGCGAAGGTGACGGCCAGACGCCACCCCAAGGTGTGTAACTTCCCGGGGGGCGGGCAGGGCCCCCCCTCGGCACCAGGGGGCGCAGGG